AAGTCTGCCTGATTGGCCATTTAAAAATTCAAGATGGCGACCATTTTTCAAGGTGACCGCCATATTGACCTTCAAAAGTTGATTTTTCTTATAGAAATTGATGTAGTTGGTCAATCTGGGTGATCTTGGTGTCGATATGTATGTTTTCAAGCATGCTTAGATGATTTTTTATAGTTTTAAGTCCATTGTAACATTTTTATCCACATAAAATAACACTATTAGTAAAAAATCTAACAAAAATGAACTTACTAAAAAAAAGTACGGTAAACAGTGGGAACACAGTCCCACCACCGAGACGAGGTAACACTCCCACCACCGATCGTCTCGTGTGAAGCAAGCATATAAATTAAAGAAAATACTTGCAGTGTGTTTAATATGTTACAGTATATTATAAATAAATAAATAAACAAATAAATCGGTAAATCCATTTCAAGTAAATGGAAAAATTTTACTCGACACCGACATTAGTTCCAGTTACCGGTAAATAGCAGACGCTTCAGTGACGTCACTAGTGTTTACACTACACCAGCGGGTAACATTTGATGACATTACTTGAAGTGAATTGGCCTTATTTTAAAAAACCAAGGATGGTTGGTAGAGGACTACTGAGTCAGTGGGTAAGTGTCACATTTGGGGTACTGGTCTTATACAGCGAATAGAGCTCAAAAGCTACTTTTTAAATGGAAATTTGGGGGGGCCGTCTTATGCACCCCGACGCCTTATAGGCCGAGATATACGGTAATAATTATACATAGTAAATAAAAATTTTAATAAAAATACACCAAAATAAAATAATATGATAACATTAATAATAATAATAATAATAATAATAATAATAATAATAATAATAATATATAATAATAAAATTAATAAAAATAACAATAAAACAGGAGTACTGTAATAATAAAATAATAATAATAATAAAGAAATACAAGAATGAAAAAAAGATCAAAAGTGAGAAACACGACCTAGACCTATGAATTACTATTATTATTATAATTTTTATTATATTTTTGCCCCCCCCAGGCCCTGATGTGGGTCAGTGATCTATGCCCGGGTGGTGGGCTAATACACATAAAAAAAAAATAAAAAAAATAACCATTCTGAAAACTGAAAAATTCCAAAATCCGAAATTCCTCTGGCCCCAAGGATTTCGGATAAGGGATTGTCAACCTGTATTTTATTTACCCGATGACTTATTTTTTACTTTCATTTACTGTATTTTGTCATTCTATTTTTCTTTTGTCATAAATTAAGTGATTTTTTTTATGTATATAAGGACTTAGGCTATGATATAGTGGGATTTTAAACATTGTTCTATAAGTACAGTATACTGTACACAGAGCATGTGTTCCGATTTACGTACAAATCTGACTTAAGAACGTCCACAGGAACGGAACCTGTTCATAACCCGGGGAACCCCTGTAGTGAAAATTGTACTAAGATAATGTATGTGAAAGCCAAGCCAAATCTACAATAACTGTTTTTGCCTCTTGTGAAGTCACGAGATATCCATCAAAACTGAAGTTATATCTTTGATTTACAGCCATCAGAGAATCTGATGACTGTATTGAAGTGATTGTCATTTTTGTATTAAAGAAACTCATTAATCATTGATCAGAACCTGTTAAATCCTCCAGTCCTGAGGTCTAACGGCTATGAGTAATTCATCCCATATGTCTTAATCGCTGATTTCACAAGAATTGGGTATGCCAATCTGAGTATTTGTGACCAATTTAATTGATGCATTTCAAGTTTAAAAACTGATTAGATTATAAGGATTAGACCCAAAGTACTAAATTTCATCAGCCAATGTGTACCGTAAATGAGACCGATAAATATGTCTGTAAAATTCCAAACTATGTAACCCTGGGGTATAAAATAGAGGGTTTAGCCATGAGATATCACTTTGAGCACCGTATTCTCTGTGTAACAGGCACTGTATGTGTTGCAGGGCCGGCCGAGAGTCAGTGGCCAGTGCAGGAAGGAAGGAAGGATGTAGTGAGTAAATGGGAATTGAGCCTGAGGAAGCCTACGGGTGCATTGGTGTTTGGGTGTACAGAAGCCAAGACTCAGCTTCAAGCTGGCATAAGCCCTGTGGTAATTCATACTGTATGTATCAGTCTGAAGTATATTATTCTCACTGAAAATATGAATACCGATGAATCCTGTGTTTTAAAGAGTGTTAACAGGTACAGGTGACGAGAGTAAGGTTGTGTCCTGGAGTTGTGAGAAGTGTGTATGTGCCAGAGTATCCCCAGTATTGATAGTAATAATAGTTACGGTACACAAATATCAACCTTGTGACGGATTTTTGGAGAGTGCTATAAAGTATAAGTGGTAATGAAATGAAGCAGTGAAGATTCATTATTTTTGTGTGTTACTCTTGTAAAATGTTACAGTGAGTTGTAGTATTTTCTAATGAAAATTGCTTCTGTTAGATTTAAAGACTTGCTTTTGCTAACCTTGAAATAAGGCCAAGTGGTTCTTGTAATCGGTATCAGGGTTAACGTAAATTTGGCCAAGTCTTGAGTGAACCCCAAGGAGTAGTTCATGTGTTTATGTTCTGTTAAAGTGTTCCTATACTGTACTGTACTCGACTTCATTGCAATAAATAGTCTTAATGTTTTTTGTGCTTTCATTACCACTGCAGTATCTGCCTTTTATTCTCCCTCATAATTTGTGCCATTGAATACATTATAACCCACGAGCCTAACACTCGCCACATTACTACCACCAAAGTGTCATGTTACTACCACATTGGTTAAGAGGTTAATGTTATGTTATACAGTATGTTCTGATAGAAAAACCTGGGTGGTGGCAGCTACCATGAGTACTGAAGATTGTAAAGTAACAGGGGGGTTTCCCAGGTAAGCCCAAGATCAGAATATAACTAGATAAGAGAAAAGTAACAGAAAACAAAAGTACTGTACTTTGAGAAATTGAATTAGAAATTAAAACAGAAACAATTAGAAATAAAAAAAATAACTACCTTAAAGATAATAAATAAAATAAATAAGAAAAGAGACAAAAAAATCCTCCCTCCCCTTCTACAAAGCTCATCAAGCACACAATATTTATGCAGTATTTGCAGTTACTACTAGCTGTTCTAATGATGTGGGCATGATCAGCAAGCAGTTATTCTCCTTCAACATTTTGTTGGTTACTGATAGGCCGAGTGGAAAAAATTGAATGAAACCACATGGCAACATCATTAGGTGGAATGTCAATATACCTGTAAATGGTTTCCAATTAATTTTACTCCCATACGTCACATGCACCAATTATGAATGATAATATGTAGTATACATTTGTCCCAGACACAGTGTGAGGAGTTGGGATTCCTGGGAAAAATATATCCCAGTTAGAGTGAATTGGTTAAGATGTACTTGACCCCATCTCTCCTACAAAGTTTGCCTTCCTTAAGACAAAAAAATTGGTTCATGGCATGTTAGGGTAAGCAGATGGCTACCAACTGACAAACCTGCTCTGCCTAATTAAGGGATAAACTTTTATAAAACTGAATGACAAACCACTCTTGCCTTAAGGCACCATCCAAAACTGTGTCTTCCAAACCAAAAAAGCTCCAAGTGCACTAAATGTCCAGCAATTATCCTTCGAACAAGTAGCGACCAGAAGTGTTTCAATTATAGGTAATAACTGGGGGAAAAAACCTAGCAAGTTGAATAAACTCTGACCAGCCTGAGCCCAAATTAAAATTATCATATATGTCTGTCTCATAATCTCCCAGACAACTGTAACTTGTTTTGTATCCCTTTTTAAGGGCTAAAGTTATTTGCAGAGAAGTAGGCTTATTTTCAGAATATTACCAGAGCCGTGAAAGGTCCAAGTTTCCTTAGGTTCCTAAGCCCCAGTCATTCAGTGGACATATTCATTAGTTGTTATAGACTGGCTTAGGTTACAAAAAGATCTTACACAGCAAATTAGGTTACAAGGTCATAAAAATACCCCTCATCTTCACCCCACACACCAAAAATAAAGGACTGTATTGCAAAAAACTAAATGTCAGGCACTGAAAGGTTAAGTGGTGATAACACTTATCTCTCCAGAACATTCCATGATGAGCGATCAATCTGACAAGAGGAGAATGTGGACAGTTCAGAAAGCAGCAGGGAACTGTGTAAAAGGTACAGCCATGCATCCTCTATTAATGCAGTACAGTACTGTACAGTAGTTAAATGGTTCAGGATGAAGGATAATCTAACTCAGTATTACAGCCCCATGAATCTGGAACCTTCCTGGATTTCAACATAACCAATGACCCAGTAGTTCAAAGCTTTGCTTCAATTTTGATTCACTGGGTGAGGAGCTGTTAACAGTACTTGTGCTGATTCAATGGACCATGTAACCAGCCATTTAAACTTGTTAAGGCCCATTTTGAGCATAGATTCAAACTGGAGGGAGTTTGTATAAGTAGAGCTATTTTTCAGGTTGCCTGCTAACAACCAGTACATTTACATTATATACACTTCCCTGGTTACAGAATACTCACTTTATAGAAAGTCAAGGATATAGAATGCCTTTCATAAGTCCCATTACAAAAATTTTCGGGTTGGGTTAGAGATTTTGTTATTATGGAAGGTAACTAGTGCGGTGTAACAACAGTATTTTAGGAGGATTATGCGTAAGGCAGCTGAGCGCATCCCCTTGTGAGATGCCATCTGTGATTCACTACAGTGTACAGTACAGTGCATGTTTCCCTTATGGAACGTCATTTTCTGTTTACAGAAAATTCGGTTTAAAGATGAGGTCCAGGAATGGAATCTTTCTGTAAACCAGGAGTGTCTGTATAAACAAGCAAAAATAAAATTTTAACTAAGAGAATAAAATTATGGACCCCTTCTAATAAAAAATAAATAAAAAATCATGTGCAAAGAATTAATGGTAATTCCAGTCATGAGAAAATAGGGTAACCTAGCATAGTAGAGCAGTTGTAGCTAAAATTACAAAACTTAAAACTTGTAACTCCAGTAATTTACCTTTTTTTTAGTCGGCACCTTTTTCTCTGAGTTGATTTGCCGCCACCTTCCTCTCCCAAATCCCAGAAGTCAGGATCGGAGTCACTGAAGGTTCCCATGACTTAGCCTTTTAAATTAAATAATTTTTATATTACAATGTACTGAAATACAGAAGAAAATTATAATCACAAGAAGAGAAAAAAATAATTCCCTGTCTAACTTACAGCATAAAAGTATCAGGTCAGATGAATAACATGAGACCCAGCATTCTACACACCACCTCCACTGAGAGACGAGTTTATAAAAAATGGTGACATTACAACAGCTCAGGTCAGGTCAACAACATGAGACCTAGTAATCCCCATCCCACCTACACTTCATATACATTCAAAAGCATTTTTAACCTAAGGCCACTGAAAAATAAATTTATATAACATACTATCAGTTTGGTGCTACTATATCATGTGGTTAACAACGATATCTTTAGTCTAACCTAACCTGATCTAATCTAACCTAATCTTACTTAACCTGACCTAATCTAACTTAACCTGACCAAATCTAACTTAACCTAATCTGAGAGTAGCACCATCAGTTTTGTACTGATCATCACTGAGGTTTATAAAATTTATTTCTCTAATTAGACTTGATTCAACCAGAAGTCTTTCTGTGACAAATGTTGATTTAAACACATTTATACTGTTGTTCCAATCCATGGTATGATTATGTTCCTAATATAAATGAAAACTGCACTGCTTTCTGCTGCTGCTTTAATACAAGTAAACCTCTATTTGTGATGGGGTTAGGTTCCTGAAAACCCAATCGCAGGTCAAAACATCGTAAATCAGGTTCATCATAACATGGAGTTCAATGGGATAGATTCCTGGCCAGTCGGGCACCCAAATGTATCACCGAACAAAAAATCCTACAATACTACAGGTTGACAATCCCTTATCCGAAATTCCGAAAACCTCTGAAAACCGAAAGTTTTTTCGTGGAGCATAACGTACCCCAAGGATTTCGGATAAGGGGTTGTCCACCTATACTAGCACTACAACACAATTAAACAACACTCACCACAACATAATGAACAAGTCTGGTCGCCATCATATGTCCCCATCGAGGATAAGGGTCTTAAGGTGGAGTGGAGACATCAACCTGAGTCCCACACTAACTTTAGGGGGTTTGAAGAGTGGGGACTAGAGGTGAAACCTTCAACTTGGCCTTAAAGATGGTGAGCAAAATGCTTGACAGACATATTTAAAGTTACACTGCTTACTTCAGTCACAAAAACACGACAAAAAACACAATGTCAGGTGGGGGTGGGGTGGGATATTAGTGGTCTCATGCAATGTCAGGTCACCCATTGTCATGGTGGAGGATTAGTGGGTCTCATGACCTGAAGATGTTTTGAATAAGGACAAAAGTTAAGTAGTAAATATAGATATGGCTAACAAAAAAGTGTATAAACTTTTATTCACAACATCTACTTTAATACAATAGTGTTAGAGAAATTTAGTTGGTACCATTACATATATGGAGAGGAGTTTCTGATGATATTATTTTTTACCTATGAGATTTAGTATTGTATATGAAGGGTACAGGTATTAATAAACACAGACATGACCCTTTGTACAATGTAGTGAATGTGTTGCAGTTCCTCTTAAAAAATTCAGGGTCACAAACTTGCAAGCATCTCAAAAACATAGCAGAGGAAATTGACTTTTTAGTTGACTCATGGTGACTCGATTAAAAATGTATAAAACTGTCCACCCGTGTAGGCTTTCTGTACACCTTAAATTTATCATTGTAACCATTTCTCATAAGCATATCAAGACATGGAAGGGAACCATTTATTTCTCTTTCACTTTTGAAGGTAATACTAGGGACAAGGTCATATGTTGGGTGGTAATCTAACCTCAAACAAATCCATAAATTGTACTGTAAATACAGGCTAAAGGACCAGAAAGATAATTACCCATGCTCATGCTAAATACAGTACTGTACCTGTATTTGTTTATAAAACTTTCCATTTGTCCCAAAAACGTAAATGCAGATATGGATGTTAATTTTAATGCGAATGTGGTGTGTTTGGTGTTTTTAATGTACAATATTTTAACCCCACATTTTCCCTCATTATCAAAGCCCTGCCCACTTAGGAAGAATTCATTATCAATGCAAGTGTTGGAATGGTTGTATCTCCTTAAATATGCATTTCTCATGGAAATAAAGGTCATTTTCTTTTATAACCCCATATATAAGCAGAAGAAAAAAACTATTTTAGTAATAAAATTTCCATTATAGCATAAAACGATTTTTTACCTGCATTCAAAACTGTTGCTAGTGTTAAAGGAGATTGTACCTGAAAAAAAGCATTAGCCACAAAATTAAAGGTTGCATTCATTCAAATCACGATGAAAAACATTATAAAAAACTATTTTAGTACGTAATAGAATTTCTGGCTGGGCATAAAACAAATTTTTACCTGTCCCACAACTCCAGCATCCCCGTCAACGTCGCAGACTACCTCACCGGTGTCCCATGGCTCCTTGCAGGCCCACTGATATTCCACAACTTCACTGCTTTCCCTTCAGGTGGCATCCTACTACTGCTGTTTTCCTACTCTTGTTTGCACACATTATGCAATAAATATTTTTTACAACACTGTGTTCAGTACTGTTCTTGCCAAACTAGAACACTAGTCAGTGTTCCTCTTCCAACAAATAGGAATATACATTACAGTGATTCCCCGTTAGCCGGAACAATTGGTGCAGAGCATTTCTGGGAACGAGAGATTTTCCTCATCCCCGGAATTTTCCGAAATTTTTTGAGTAACGGAAAAATGTTCTCGGAAGTTCCAGAAGTTGCCCATTACATCATCTTTCGAACCCGAAAAAATATCCCTCATCCCCGGAATTTTCGGGGTAACAGAAAAATTTTCTCTGAATTTCCAGAAAACGCGCCTGATTTTTATCTCTCAAACCCGGAAAAAACTCCCTCCATCTCAGGAATTTTCCGGGTATTGGGAAAATTTTTTCGGAATTTTCCGGAAATTGTGCCCCTCAGAAAATTGTTCCCAAAGCCGGAATCTTCAGGAAATTCCAGCTTTGGGAACAATTTTCCGAGAGGCTATTGGAGAGTTCCGGGTTTGAGGGATTCCGGCTAACGGAGATATTACTGTACATATTCCAATTTAGCAAGCTGTGATCAGAGGTTGTGAGCTGTACCCTGCCTGGTTCCTGCCACCCATAATATACCTAAGATACTCACCTATTACCTACCCAATAGCACAATTCCTCAGAAAACATGTCTGGGAATCACTGAGATATATACAGTACTGTACTGTATATTCTTTAACTGAAATGTTACTCTGCAATATTACACACATAACTGTCCCGATTATAGCAATTAAGCAAACTATAACCATTAGGTGTGTTCTTATTGTTTGCAATGAATGACATTAGCTGTAATTGGGGAAATAAGGGTTAGTACTGTGGGCGGTAATGGTAGTGTTGGTCATCGTGCATCTTGGGGAGACTGGAGTATTGGATCTTTATCTCCACAAAATGACAACAAACATATCGATATACAGGGTATATCCTATTTTTTTTCTTACTTTTACTTTTATTCTCTTCACCACTGATCGACTTGTCACACTCGGTGCTGTCACAACACTCTCTGGCAGGTTCTTCCAAAAGTTCACAATTCTCATTCCAAAAGAAGTTTGTCCTCACAGTTTTCTGATTTTGTGGCTTCTTCTACCTTGAGCTGTGACCCCTTGTGGGGCGGGCGTCTGCCAGCTCCTGGTATAGACACTCGACTGAGTAGTGTCCTTTGTTATGTTTATACACTTCAATTAGGTCCCCCTTGCCCATCTGTAGTACTGTACAGTATTTCCTTAAAGCTCGCAGTTTTAAAGCCTGCGTCCTTTGGAAACTCACGGATTGCCATAGAAAATAAATTAAATAAATCTGAGGCTGTGTGCCAGGGATCAAGAGGAGTCAATAATACAGGACAGTACAGAACACTATAATTAGCAAGGTGTATTTTGGAAAAATTATATTATTGCAGATTTAATAGCCTACTGTACTGGCAAAGCCAAGTCACTGGCTATATGCTATCATGTTTCTCACTACCACAGCTCACTATCACTTTATGGACCTGTTATCAAACATTTGTTGGAATTATTAATAAAATGAACCTAATTTAATACAAAAGGATATAATTATAAGTATAGGTACCTACAGTATACACATTACAGATACTTATTGGTACTGGGCATTTTCACTAGGTACTGTGCAGTGCAGGGATTGTTTACATCATGTGCACCATATCAGCTGATATTTCAGAAGTACTGTCTTTGCATTGTCAATACCACAACTATCACCATGTGGACCTAATGTCCATACAGTGTTATTTTATGTTTATGTTTATTTAATTACTATGTTATTTCATATTTATTACATTGTCTTATACATAATGTTGTCATACATGTGCATTTAGCTATTTAAATATGTATTTTGCGCACTCCTGGGAATGGCATGAAAATCTCACGGATTTTGCTTTCTCATGGGGTCCATTTTACCTAACCCCGGCAAACTTTAAGGGAATACTGTATAAGCTAGGCAGTTGCAGGCGCTCTAATCTCTCTGGATAACTGAGGTGCCGAAGTGCAGGCACCAGTTTGGTCGCTCTCCTTTGGACATTTTCAATCAACTGACAATCCCTAGCAGCACCAGTAAATAAATCTGTTGACGTGTGATTACTGCACGGCAACAACAGATGTAGATGGTACAGACCTGACCAATACAGAGTTTAGGATGATACATGCTGCAGTAAAGCATGAAGGCTGTTGCTGGTATTGCCCTGACTGCATAGTCAAGGTAAAAGAGGGGATTGCATGCCATAGGGGAACGAGTTCCCTAGGGACGAAAATAGATGAAGCTGGATCCTTGCTGGTTGCCAAACTTGAACAAGTTGGAAAAGAGATCCTTGCTAAGACTGAGGAAGTAGCCGATAGAATGGAGGTGGTAGCAAAGAGGAGTTATGCTGAGGTCTTAACAGGGCCACGGGAGGTGGCGGAGAGTAATGCAGGATCAGAACAGGTTCTACAACAGCTCGGGACTCTGAAGAAGTGTGTAGAAGTGATGGCAACTAGCGGACCTAATGTTAGGGGAGAGGAGGAACAATGGGAATGTTTCCTGTGCAGGAACAATGTAATAGTTTTTGGAGTCCCTGAGAGCCAAGCGGAGGGAACTGAGAGCAGGATAACACACGATAAGATGCAGTTTAAGAATATTTGTATAGAGGTTCTGAATATGCCATCAACCCCTCAGGATGTGAGGAGGCTGGGACAAAAGCAGGGGATAAGCCTCGCCCCCTCAGGATCACACTAGTGAGTGAGGAGAAGAAATGGGAGGTTATTCGGCAGACAAAAAACTTAGCAAGGAGAGAGGCATTTTGGAGTGTATTCATTCACCCAGATCGCACGGTAATGCAGAGGGAACAGCACAAGGAGTTCCTGCAGGGCTTGAAGCAGAAGAGGGCGAGGTCGAGGAAGAACGGGGACTTGAGTAACATGAGTTATATTCAGGGGAGGGTAGTAGAAACAAGTGTGCCGACATAGAGTCAGGGGCAGCAGCGCACCCTCCACCCACTCTACCCCATACCCGTGAGGAGGCACCAGCTTCACCTACCAGACAGGAGGAGGCGAGCGCCGTGTAAACAATGACATTTCTAATCACACCCTGCAAAATACAGTGTACTTAGTAAATGCTGCAGCTTCTGAGAATGAAGGGGAGCCGGAGTTTCTAAAAAAAGAACAGAAACGTTACCGAGAACAAATTCTGGCTTGAATGTCATGTACACTAATACTGACACGTTCCTTGATAAGAGAGAGGAGTTTGAAACACTACTGAAGAAACACCAACCCGAAATTGTAGGAGTTGTAGAACTGTTGTACAAGAACAGGAGAATGGACCCAGAGGAGTGTGAGTTCAATATTGCTGGATATGACTCATTTACAAACCTATCTCAAGAAACTTGCAAGAGGGGTGTGGTTATCTATGCTAGGCAAGAACTTAGAACCAGCCAGGAAAGGGTACAGGGAGAGGATGTTTTTGAAAACAATGGCGACATCGGCTGGAGAAACGAGTTCACCCCAAAGGACTTGAATAAACCCTACTACTCTTTTTACAGAAACTCTGAGAGATAATTTTCTGTTC